CTGACTTGCATAGCAGTCAAACAGTGTTATTATTAACATAATATATGATTTCGAGAGGGAGGCGGAAAAATTAGTTCTAAAGAGGAAGGGGGAACAGCACATTTCTCAAACATTACACAACTTTGTTTTAACAATTAGTGAAACACTTCTGTAGACACTCATAGTTATTTCAGTTTGGTCCTTGGGATAAAAATCTTCCATTAATACATGTATGACCTGTGTGTATACGCGCACGCTAACACAGAAACGCTTATGGTAAATACAACCGGTTTCAGCATTGTGCGGTGGTACATAGAAATGAAATGCACACATTCATATGTATAGGTTGACGTTCGCGTATGCTCATTGCGTCTGGAGGACACGTTAGTTTTGAAACGGTAACTTCTAAGAAGTTTTTTTCTCATCAGGAGAATATAACATAATCATGAATATCATGGTCGTGATATATTCCGGTCCGATATTCAAGTCACTTCATGAAGCACAGAGGCACGGAGCACTACTGAGTGATACCACGCAGAAACACAGGTTGTTTGGAGTGCAGTTCTTCATACAGTTTGCATTACCCACATTATAAGGAAAACGGAGAAATCAACATCAGAAAAATCACTTTAAATACATTCAATGCTTTAGGTCTCGTTCACACCTAGGCGTATTGCATATGCGCGTCTCTCGTGCGTTTTTTTTACCGCGATTCGCGATACTTGGCTGTATCCCAATGGAAACGCGCAACAAAACGGCCCAAAGTAGTACATGTACCTTTTCAGGCGTGGGCCGTTTTGTAGCGCGTTAGGGACGGGCAGAAATACGCCAAGGTGGGAACGAGACCATTGACTACAATGGGATTTATATTTTTGAGCGTTTTGTAGAGCGTTCGTCCAGCGTAGAACGCGCTACAAAACGTTCAGGTGTGAACGAGGGCTTAGGGGAAATCCAACCAAATCCTTTTTTTTCTTTATTTTTTAAAGACTGCAAGCAGCATTTTAGTGCTGGCCCCTTTAGGAAGGTTTTCCATCCTTCCTGTCTCTGAGACCACCAGGGAATGGTTGAGAGTAGAATTTCCAGGATGGATGAAGGGTTTTTTCATCCTTCCTGTCCTGTCCTAGAGACCACCAGGGCATGGTTGAGAGCAGAATTTCCAGGACAGAAAGATGGAAGAATTTCCATCTTCCTGTCCTGGAAACCACCAGGGAATAGTTGAGAGCAGAACTTCTAGGACAGGACAGATGAAAGGTTCTCCATCCTTCCTGTCCTGGAGACCACCAGGGAATAGTTGAGAGCACAACTTCTAGGACAGCAAGGATGGAAGCATTTCAATCCTTCCTGTCCTGGAGACCACCAGGGCATAGTTGAGAGCAGAACTTCCAGGACAGAAAGATGGAAACATTTCAATCCTTCCTGTCCTGGAGACCACCAGGGCATAGTTGAGAGCAGAACTTCTAGATCAGGAAAGATGGAAGCTTTGTACTTCAGGACATAGACATTAGATCACAATTACCCAATCCATTATTTGACAAGTGTATATGGCCATTGCCCAGCACCCTCAAACAAACATTCTCAGGGAATCATTTGGCAACTTGGAAAGCTTTTCCCAAATACTATAGCTTTCCCTGGGACCACATGGCTCCCCTTTCTCCTCCATTGCCATATACAGGACAGGATAAATAACTTCCGACAAATAACTAACGGTCCAAACCGGTAGCAGTTCTGGGGGGTCAACAAATCCACTGCGACACTTAACAGATACACCCTGAAGCTTAGATTTTGTTAAAAAATAAATACCGTAACATTTCTGTATAAAAGTTTTCTAAAAATGTTCTAAACAATTGATTTCATAAATAACCAATCTAGGTTCTATTTAAATAACTAGTAATGCCATAAAAATGTTAAAATTGTTTGTTTTTTTTCTTTTGAAAAAGGATCTAAAAACAACCATAATATACTAAATAATAAACTATATAATTATAATATACAAAATGAAAAGCAAACTGTAGAAATTCTAAAATCAGTAGATGATGTTGTCAAATTATTGCTTGTTTTCATGTATGCCATGTATTCATACTCAACACTTTTAATGGCCCCTACCACCAAAAATAGGATCCGCATGCCCATGCTATTCCACTGCCTTAAACCTACAGTATATGCAGTAGCAGAAGTACTGAAGTGCACTGGCTGGAGAAACTACTGCTTCAGGATCCCTTAGCGCATAGTGATTAAATGCCTAGGTATTTAGTCACATGACCAGCTAATCTGAACTAGACTTACCCTGCATGATGTGTGCTAGGCATTTAGTCATGGGACTGTCCACCATGGAATCCATGGAGCAGTGGTTTCTGCAGCAAAGCTACTTCAGGCCTTGCGTTATTGTTCAGGTATTTAAGGCATCAGGGTGGGCAGGAGAGAAGGGGAAGATACAGTTTATTTGTAATTATGAATTGATTTATCATCTCCTATTGATACCATGTCACAAGTCATTGCTACATATTGTTAATCATTATGTCATCATAGCAGTACCTATAAAATATAGTGCTGATATAGAAAAAAGAATAGGCAACCTTGGCACTCCAGCAAATCCCATAATGCCTCTGGGAGTGGTGCCTGTGGCTGTCAGAGTCTTGCAATGCCTCATGGGACTTATAGTTTCACCACAGCTGGAGTGGCAAGGTTGCCTACCCCTGATGTGGAACCTCCCTGTCTCATATTCTACCAGCTCCGGTGCTAGTAATGATAGACAATACCGATGGCACGGGTGAGGAATGGGAAGCCTGTGGAGCATCTGCTGACTAGTCAATATCATGAGAGGAGCAGAGCCCTTTCCTCTGATTACAGTAGCTCACAAAACTGACCATGGAAAGGTTTTTAGAGAAGCATTAGGGAAAGCACAACACTCTTCCCTACCATACTGTGGCACCAGTTATGGTCAGCCCCATGAGATCCCTCCATCAACCAAGAACTTCTGTTTTCTATACACACCCAACCCTGCAAAGCTTCTCCAAAACCAAAACAAGGGACAGGCCGAGGCGTAGATGGCCGTGCATACATAGCGCGAAAATTATAATGCCTATGTATTATGATAACCATTTCCTTGCTGTCCATTCTTTGTATTATACTGACACTTGCGGGTCTATTTATAAACAAATGGCCCTGCGAATATCTGTAAATGTTTGTTTTGTGCAAATAATGGCAAAATTAATATATTTTCTTTTCAGGTTGAAAGTATTGTGATGCAATACTGCTTTATGGCCACTAGATGGAGATAGTACTCACTTCCTATGCTCCACAGCTTCCTCTAATGGCCATAATGCAGTATTACATGACCAATACATTTGACCTGAAAATAAACTATATTAAGAAGCTTTGTTTTTGGCATCGTCTGGAAAAAATGAACGTTTACAGATATTCACCTCCTGGAAATACTGGTTGGCTGGCTTTTATGCAGATCCAGTGGCTTCATTATTTTCAGTCATCAATCTGCAATGAGCATATAGAAGGAAACGGCCTGCAAATTGTTTAGAAACAGACCCTTTGGTGACAAATATAATCAATAACGATGTGTAAAAAAACTCTTTTTGCATGACATAGGTGTTTACTCGCTGTATGGTAACCACCACATTCACTTAAAATATGCAATAGATACAACCGAATAGCAACCTGCATATAGGTAGAATTAAACTGGGACTGCTGGTAGTATGCTTTAACTTGCCAATTTTGCTCATAGTCCGAAACAATATTGATCTGATCACCAGCTGGCCATGTAAATCAACAAAGTATCATAAGTTAGCAATACAGGAGGTTTACCATAGAGATAAGAGCTGTAATGGTTAGTAAGTACTTTGTAGATGAGGTGTACACCTCCAAACACTCCACGCTTTTCCTTTTATGTGCAGCTTGTGTTCAGTAATAAACCCGCCTGTGTTTGAGCAGTGGTATCTTCAGCATGTCCCATTCAATTACCATTGTTAGGTGGCAGGAGAAGGGTTCAGTCTGTGCAAAGTCATATTTATCTTTCCATAAAGTTCCTCTGGAAATCTCCTCCTCTCTATGGTCATACTAATGCCGTCTTCCAGAATGATGTGTGCAGCGAGAGGAGGAGATCACCAGAGGAACCTGACCCTTAAAAACAAGGCTGCAAAAGTGGCTATACTTTGATACACAGCCCGCCCCTGTCACCCTTCAGGTGGACATATGAGAACATGGAGAGAATTCCCGCACTCGTCTTGAAGTGACTTGATCGTCCTTCTTACCAAACGCTGATGAGCTCAAGTTTCCCTTAACAATTGACACAAAAACTCTGTTCATGCCATTCAGCAGTTAGTGGCTTGCGTAACATTTGAAAGCAACAATTCTTTGGATGAAATGAAACGGGCCTTAGCAAATGTAGGAATCCATTTGATGAACGTGTAAAGTGAGCCTGGTGCTTACACAGTCTAAGTGCCGCCATCTTTAGGCCTGAGCCAATATTTAAAATAATAGCCTATCAATTGACTAGAAACCACCGCGTCATTCATGCCAATATTTCATAATAAGACATATTGGCACGATAGGCCCCACCTTTATTCCGCCATGGCAAAACATGCCTCACTGTAACAAAACCCACCCTCTTTGGGTACCATAAATCAAGACTACCCAATCAGAACGCATTTCCCAGATGACATCTGGTATTGGGCAAAGCCCAAAGTGGCTGCCTCTACTGTGTGTATACATCAGGCCCACTTTAAGACAGAGGGCAGAAGTACTAAAAGGATGCTGTGAGGATATCAGTGGTGTAAGAGGCACAAATCAATGGAACATTAGCAGTAGCATTACCAGACTCAGCAGCAAGAGACAGGGTGTAGGCTTAGAGTGAGGGGTCCCGAGGAGAGAGAAGGGTGGGTGTGCTAGTCTTGCCCGCTTGGACACAGGACATGTGACCCATTTATATTTTCTCATTTTTTTCTTGTTTTTTTTTTTTTTTCTGTTTCTTGGTTTTAATAGAAAAAATAAACCGATCACCATAACAAAAACTAAGAAAGGAAAATTAAAAAAAGGATTGCGGTGTGTGGAGTCCAAAGGGAAGGGAGGGGAGATCAAGGACCTGGCTCTTCCTCCATGGGCTCTTCCAATGGCCTGTAATGGCAAAGAAGCTGAATTACAACCTGTAAGCTCAACATCGTCTTTTGTTTTCTTCTAATGTGGCATGACGTTACCAGGCCAAGCCTTGAGCACCCTACAAATTCCCATCTGTAGGCCACCTGACACTTTTTAACCAACAAGCAGCCCGGTGTGCAAAAGATCTGGCCAATGACAGCACTGGAAAAGGGGGGAGGACCTACACTTGGAACCACTCAGACTCTGCCGCCAGCACAGTGCTGTCAATCTATCACTTGGAGCTTGCTAACAGGAAGTGATATGCGAGTGAGCAGTATGGTTCCTTTATTGCCCAATCAGAAGGCTAAGGGTGTGTCCTTGACCAAGCTGTGCTGCTTAAACGCAGTGGAGGTCATGTGCCTGGATATGGCTGAACAGAATGATACATTTGTTGGCAGGGAAGGCAGTTCATATATATGGACAGCTATTTGTTTAGTTGCTTGCTTGGAGTTCACTTGTAAATGACAGAGAAGAGCTTCCCATTTATCACCTACTACAAACCCACCATGGTTTTTACCTGTTCAGGCAAGCCCTGTGCCACAACACCCATTTACCACTTCGCCTCTCTTCGCAAACATTTTCCTTTAACTGGTCGATATGTATTGCCCCTTCCTGCCTCTACTGCCCCGGCTTACCTGGAGATACAGTCTGTATTGCTTTGTTCTGTATCTACTGATAATGAGGCCAATGCAGTAACAGCTTCCGCCTCCTCTGCCTCTCCTCGCTGTGCTTCCAAAATGGAATGACCCACGGTCATGTTGTTTAAGGAGTTCCAGTGTTTTCCTGGAAGAGATAGCCAACAAAAAACGTTCTTGTGGGACTGTTTGCTTTTGAGGGCCCATAATAAAGAGAATCTGTCATTTATATTAAGAAAGACATTATCACAATTCATTGTTGCGGAACAATGATCAGATCACATTCAACTTTATTTAACCCGGACGTAGCACACTGCAGCCCCACCTAGGCCCGCTCCTCCATAAGGTTTCACCTAAAAATCACAGAGATTGATCACTACCACAATTGTTGATATCTTGCAATCTATGCACCTTGCTTCTCCCCCCAAGCAGTGATCTAAATCTGTGTTATTCTTATGTTAATTAAAGCCAGACCCCCAGCTAGGCTCGTCTGCCTGGCTCCACGGAGGAGCTGGAATACACATTAAGCAGGGTTCTATTACAATCTGAAAGCCCTGCATCTCCGTGGTTGAGGTAGTTCAGTGCTGATGTTGTGGCTTCCTAGGTGGACCTCTGCTTATAATATAGACATAATCACAGGCCTAAAAGTAAGCCTGTGCACAAGCTATGGACATTAACGTAATAACATATCTCTAACAAGCAGCAAAAGAGCTTTACATCAATTCCTTACTGTCCTTTCTAGCTGCAGGCGCTGCAAAATAAATGATCCTCAAAAGTTACAACTGAGACTCTAAAGCAGGGGTGGGTAACTCCGGCCCTCCAGCTGTTATGGTACTAGAAGTCCCATGAGGCATTGCATGACTCATAGTTACAGGCATGACTCCCAGAGGTAGAGGCATATTGGGATTTGTAGTCAAAGCACACCTTGAGGGCTGGCGTTGCCCACCCCTGCTATAAATTCTGGTTTTCGTCAGTTTATAGCAGTTTACAGCACCTGCAGTCCTGCATTGTACAGGAGGACAGCGAGGTCCACATTCCGGAGCGTCAGACAGTGTAGGTGAGAGCCGACTGCCAGGGGAGCAAGAAGGAGGATTCTAGCCAAAAAAGTATTTAATCCATACAGTCCAGGGAGGACCCCAGTGCATGACAACAGCCCAGAATAGGGGACCCCAGTGCATGACAACAGCCCAGAATAGGGGACCCCAGTGCATGACAACAGCCCAGAATAGGGGACTCCAGTGCATGACAACAGCCTAGAATAGGGTACCCTAGTGCATGACAACAGCCCAGAATAGGGGACCCCAGCGCATGACCAGAGCCCAGAATAGGGGACCCCAGTACCAGACAACAGCCCAGAATAGGGGACTCCAGTACATGACAACAGCCTAGAATAGGGGACCCCAGTGCATGATAACAGCCCAGAATAGGGGACTCCAGTGCATGACAACAGCCCAGAATAGGGGACCCCAGCGCATGACCAGAGCCCAGAATAGGGGACCCCACTGCATGACCACAGCCCAGAAAAGGGGACCCCAGTGCATAACCACAGCCCAGAATAGGGGACCCCAGTGCATGACAACAGCCCAGAATAGGGGACCCCAGTGCATGACCACTGCCTGGAATGGGGCTTTAAGGTTTTTGTTTTTTAACAAACCAGGAAGTTGAGAAATCCATATTCATGAAGTCAGCGGCTGCCAGCTTCTGTACCCATTGTACAATTGCTTGATTTGTTCAGTTAGGGTTCCCAACGTTTAACTGGGCACCAACCACCTGGACCCCCGTTAGCCCTATACACATAAAGCCATCTACATTTGTCATATAACCACAACTCATGTCCCATCACTCACTCTGGATAGCAATGACTCTCTCTAGTGTGCTCAGTGCATTGTCGTTGGGCCTTTGCTGCAGTACACTGTTATCGAATGGCACAGGCTGTAAATGAAGAGAACAAGTTAGAAAGCTGGGCAACAAGAACTCATCCATTTTGCCCCTCTTATAGTACTGCCCTCTACCGTCCTCACCTCCATGCCTAGAAGAGCCGATACACAAGCCTCAGAGGCGTCACAGATGGCTGTTAAGTCATGACCGCCTTCCAAAGCCATGACAACCCTTCCACCCGCCAGAGACATCAACTGCGCCGTGAGGTGACCAAAACCTGCAAGAACCATGTGAAATAGTTGCATAGAGTAAGGTGAACCATTCATGTGTTCCCATTGCCAAGGGTAAGAAAATCATGGTTTAGTGTACATTGGCTACTTGGCTCCTGGTTTGTAGAGCCCTAAGGCCTTCAGATTCAGAATAAAAGTATAAATGTCATCATTTAAGTTTTTTATGTGTGCCCAGACTGACTAAAAGTCATATAACAATGTATGATGGGGCCCACTGCCCCTCTAATCTCCATCTGTAAGGAAGGTCCTCTAGCGATGTACAATTCTGTATGCAGGTTCCCAAACTATACACACAATCACTTCATCTAAATGTATTTGCTACCTGCATAAATCACTCTAGTCAGCCAATTGTGGGCCCCCTGTACTTCTGGGCCCCATAACAGTTGCCCAGTCTGCTTTGTCCTGCCAGCATGCCTGTTGTAGATCAGTGAGTCACTAGCCAGGATCAAAGTGAGAGCCTCAGACATGTAGAAGAACAGAAGCAATAATTGCCGTGACCCTGGCCAAAAGAGAAGGAATAGATGGAAGAATGCAAATGATTGTACTCAGACCTACATTTTGCTGTGACCGAGTATCCTCCAAGTGGGCTCTGGTGGCCCTCCACTGCATCAAATCCTGCAGAGACCAGGACAAAGTCCGGGGAGAACTCCTGAGCTACGGGCATGACCACCGTTCTGAAAAATCAGAAAAGCAGCAAAGTTAGCAAAATGATTCATCTACGTCACACGAAAAACTCTACGCAACAAGTTTTTCCAAAGATTTGGATAACAAATATTTGATTGTACATTTTCTATATGTCCACTGGGATAGGAGCCGTTATATCGTTTGTATTCTTTATTTCCTTTTGGCACTGAAATGGGTATTTTGCACACTCTACACCAGTTGTCCTCAAACTTCAGCTCACGTGCCAGATCCAGCCCCCTGTGATATACTTTAGTTGTCACTGTTGGGCAGAGTAATCTGCTGCCCAATGGTTACAGCCTTGACATCACCAGGCCACTATAGGAATAGCGTGTGACATGTAGCATATACAAATCACCACTAAACTCCAATTTGGTACTCCTCCTCCAAATGACACAAATGATAGGACACTCCCAATGACACCAACAATGGAGCACTGTTCCTCCCTATGACACCAACAATGGGACACTGCTCTCTCCAATGCCACCAATGATGGTACACTGTTCCTCCCTATGACACCAACAATAGGACCCTGTTCTCTCCAATGCCACCAATGATGGTACACTGTTCCTCCCTATGACACCAACAATAGGACCCTGTTCTCTCCAATGCCACCAATGATGGTACACTGTTCCTCCCTATGACACCAACAATAGGACCCTGTTCTCTCCAATGCCACCAATGATGGTACACTGTTCCTCCCAATTACATTAATGATGGGGCACTATTCCTTCCAAGGACACCAACAAAGGGACACTGTTCTCTCCGATGCCACCAACGATGGGAGACTGTTACTCCCTATGACACCAACAATGGGATAATGTTCTCTCTAATGCCACCAATGATGGGACCTTAATGTTGGGGCACTATTCCTCCCAAGGACAGCAACAATGGGGCACTGTTCCTTCTAATGAAACCAACCATGGGACACTTCACTGTTCCCCTCAATGACACCAAGGATGGGGCACTGGCACTAGTCCTCTCACAAACACCAACGAAAAGGGAAACACCAAACGTTTCCTGACCCCTCACGCAGCACTATTTCTCCTCCCTCTGACCATCAACACCGGGGCAAGTTTACTGATGCTGGGGCATTTTTTTTAAATTATAGTAGACTACTGGCTACAGTCTTGCCCCCACACAGTCTAAAGAACAGTCAACTAACCATATGTTGTCCCCATCAATCAGCCTGTCAGTGAGGCAGTAAGTGACAATAAATCTCCCCAATGAGGGACACATTCAGCAATGAAAACTAATGAGAGTTTCTAACCCTTCCCCTCTCTGTATAAAACTATCATCAAAGTTGATGCTGGAGGTCTGGCTAATATTCCTATATAACACATTCTGTCTTTTCTGGGTCACAATCATAAGGATAATGATACGCACTGATATCTTCAGTTGTTTAATACAAGGAAATACCTGAAAGCAGCAAGGTATTCAGCATCCCCAATGGGGGGTTCCACACCACCTGTCCATGCAATGTTCACATTGTATCCCACGCCACAACCGGTGCCAACCTGTGAAAGAAACACTAGATATTTGGACTGCGTAACAAGAACCATTTTTTTTTTTACTTACAGCTCCAAATCTCCCAGGAGTTTAACTGGACCAATTTTACCAGCACTCATCCCTAAAATCTACACCCTAATGGAGTGCATTCAGAACGTCCTGAAGAACCATCTTCACTGGACAAAGGAAAGTGAAATCAGAAGGGTTAAAGAATATAATGAGTACATCTCAGCAATACGCGCATATTTCCCTGTGTTTTGTCTCTTTAAAAATGCTACAGGTACAGAAAAATACAAGTTGATCTGCTGCAAATCCAGTGAGCTCCTAACTTCCTGTTTGACATGACAACACAATGCCTCTACGGCACTGAATTCCCAAGCAGTGTTGGCAGCAGAAATGTCCATGCATTGCAGAGATCTACTGATTACGTTTTATTTTTGCCCAGACATGCACTTTAAGCAGGATAGCCTAATCTGCTGTTCTTAAAAGTTCCAGTCATGAGACTCCCGGCAAGTCGGTTGTCTCTACACCTCTGCCAAGGCTGTAACAAGTCACCCATAGTCCCCCGGACATTTCAGTGTTTCATGAAGCAGTATGGAGAAGCAAGTGAGGGTATTATTTCTGCATGGAAGGTAGAAGGTACTGCACATTCAGAGTAGAGAAGATATCTCTTCACTGTTTTCTGCCAAAAGATATAAAAAGCTACAATGCGATTTAACTGTGCAAAACTGAAATAGTAGACCTGGGTGATCAGAGGAGCAGGGAGACCTACAGGCCAAAATTCCCACCATCCTATAACAAAGGAAAACATTTAGTAATGTCGACATACATTAAACTTTGTTCTGCTTTGCGCAGAACAGAGCAAATGACTGACCCTTCAACACTTTGCTGAATCAATATCAGGGCTAGATATCAGACAAGCAGTAAGGAACGCTGTATATGGCAAAAGGTTTGTGGACACCTGACCATCACACCTATAAGGGCTTGTTGGGCATCCCATTCAAAAACCATGGCCATTAATATGGAGTTGCCCCTCTGCCTCTAGCACTTTGCAACTATAACAGCCTCTACCTTTTTCACAAGATTTTGGAGTCTGCTGGAATTTGTGGTTAGATACAGATGTTGGATCAGAAGGTCCGACTCGCTCAGATAACGATACTAGTATCGCACGACTTGTACTCCCCAAATGCTCCCGATGCCTATCCCGATACCAGGAACTTACAGTATCAGAAGCCGGGCGGCGAGTTATTACAAGCTGCCTGGCTTCCTGATTGGCCGGGAAGCCGGCTCCACACTCCCTCGTCACCAGGGAGCATGGAGCTGGCTTCCCGGCCAAATAGGGAAGCCGGGGAGCCGGTAATAGTATTTGAGGTTGAATAAAGACACAGGTCCATCAAGTTCCATCAATGATTCTCCCCCCAGCTTCCTGATTGGTCAGATAGTCGTCTACCTGCTTCCTCGTCACCTGGTGATGAGGTAGCATGGAGCCGGCTTCCCGGCCAATCAGAAAGCAGGGTGCTGTGTAATAACTCACCGCTCGGCTTCCTGATTGGTCGGGAAGCTGGCCAATGAGGAGGCCAGGCAGCGAGTTATTACCTGTCCCCTGGCTTCCTGATTGGCCAGAAAGCCAGCTCCATGCTTCCTCGTCACCTGGTGACGAGGGAGCATGGAGACGGCTTCCTGGCTAATCGGGAAGCTAGGCGAGGAGTCATTACATGGCTTCCCTAATGAGACTTTCGGTATCGGTGAGTAGCAGAAAATAAATATCGGTACTTGTACTCGATACCAAAAAAACGGTATCAGTGCACCCCTAGCAATTAGCGTTTCCATACATTCCAAAGGTGTTCAATAGGATTGAGGTCAGTGCTGTGTGCAGACCACTCAATTTGCTCCAAACCAAATACGTCTTTATGGAGCTGGCTTTGTGCACAGCGGCACAGTCATGGTGGGCCAGAGACAGACCTTCCCCAAACTGTTACCACAAGGTTTAAAGTGGATAATTGTCTAAAATGTCTTTGTATGCTGTAGTATTAACAGTAACCTAAACTGAAAGACACTGAAACTCAATCATTTGGAGGGTTGCCCACACTCTTTTAGCCCTCTAGAGTGATTCGCGTAATAATGAAAAATGATCTTCCACCATCTAAAAAACAAAAGGGCCCCTAAAACTTTACCCACCTCCTCAGGAGAGCCGCTACCGGGAAAAAAGTTGCCGTCATCATAACGGTGGAGAGACATGTAGAGGACATTGGGGTCACTGTAGAAGGCTTGCTGTGTTCCATTACCATGGTGAATATCCTGCCAGGAAAATAGAGTTTGCTTAGAGGACAATGGCCTAATGGCAAAGTTTATGGACTGTCTTATCTACGCTAGAAGGATGTCGTCCACTGACCGTAATTCCACTAACTCACCCAATCCAATATCAGGATCCGGCCCACATTCATCTTCTGGCGGAGCAATTTGGCAGCGATAGCTACAGAGTTAAAAAAACAGAAACCCCTAAAGGAAGAGGAGAGGGGGTAGAGGGTCAGTGATGGCGAGTGTGACCTGGGACAAAGGGAAGAAGGATCCAGAGGTGGAAAAGGGGTGACGACAGAAGACGATGAGGTACAAAGGAAGATAGACACACAACAGGGCAATGAAGGTAACAAGAAGCTGCAATTTAGGAGGTAAAGCAGGGATGGAAGAGGAGTGAATCTCCCATTACTGAGGAGGGGTCTTCATTATGGGACCCCTCCTCCCTGTACTCACATGGCAACTGATTCCTCAGCGTGATGTCCTGGGGGACGGATAACTGCAAATCCATTCTGTAGGAAGTGTAAATACAGACATTGGAAATCACACCAGAATAAAAGATGCAAAGTTCTAGAAACTATTCAAATGAAAGAATAACTATTGCTAATTTCTGAAAGATCGATGCATGTAATAAAAACGAATGAACCCCTCGTTCTGTTAGAAGAACCCGACTTTAAGGTTGCTGTGTTAATGATAGAGTAGGTAATGGTTTAGACCCTGTCAGGTTTTTTACTGTCTCTGTTCCACTGGGGAGGTTTCCCTTCACTTCCTGTCATGGAAACACAATAGGAAGTTTGGGGAGATTCCAACAGAGCGAGGGAAACTCCTTTTTTGTTTTTACTAGAACAGGTGTCCCTGTTGGAAGGTTTCACCTCTTGTTCTCGTGACAGTTCTAACAGCTTGGATTTCCCAATAATCACCAGGACAAGGTTCCAAGGCTTTGGCTATATATACACTTTTAACTTATCTAGGAATGGAGACTCTCTCAATTGCTTTACCCACCCAATCGGTGACTTACTTTCAATTCTCCGGACGCCACTTTGAATGCCAGCTCAAGAAGAGAACCAACGGCTGTTCGGACAGCAGCTGGGGAGTGTAGTTCATTCCATACGGTGTCACTGTCCACCTGCCACCCAAAAGACACTGGGTAAACTTCAAAGAAGCAAGTAAACCCTCAGTACAATAATCAGATGTTTTGTATTGCTGCTTTAAGATTGTTAGAAACTGCCATCATCATGTCATTCCGCAACTTAACAGTCACATAGATGTTTTTTGGGTCCTATCCATGTCAGTGTAAATATAAAACAAGCTCGGACCCTAAACGTGTCCTTAGTACTGTCATATCCCAACCTGCCTGGTACCCTGAAGCATTTCTGGGTTCCTACCTGATACCACCTCCACATGAGGGGTACCTGGCCTGGTGCAAGACTTTGCTGAGGGACCTTCCCTAATATTTTGGCCTCTCCAAATTTTGCTGAAGCGTTCATCTGGGTGCGAGTATTTTACAAATTTGTAGGGGGGAGGGGGTACTCCATATTGTAGGTTATGTGTTTAGATGAAGCACTGAGATCTTGAGGAATGCTGAATTAAGTTTTACTTGCTTATAAGGACATTACATCTGAATACAGCATTATAGAGCATTAGGGTTGCCACCTTTTCTTCTAGTGAAACCCGAACACTCTGGCGACGCACTGACATTTTTTGGGGAGAATGAGTCGCGGCTTATTTGTATGTAAATAGCGCCGCCCATTCATATGTAAATATCACAGTTGAGTTTTATTTTTGGTGGGGGTCCAGTAGCCCCTATCTTAATTTTGGTTGCCCGGTCTACCTGACATCTTGTGTCCGTGTTTCTGCTGCCATGAAACCCGGACACAGCATTCAAAACCCGGACTGTCCGGGTCAATCCTGGACAGGTGGCAACCCTACCCTAGTTGTTTTCTACATTTAGCCCTGAAAAAAAATAATGAAATAAATAAAAAGTTTAAAAATAATAAGAAATAAAATTAAGAAATGTGATTAAAAAGTAAAAAATTATAAGAAGAAAAAGGTATAAAAAATAGTAAGTACTGATGGTAGTAATACCCAGAAATACTAATCATGTGGTATGTAATGATATCACAGCTCTGGTTTTAGGCGCCGCCCCACCATCTGTGGCAGTGGCGTTGTGTGTATGCTGCTGACATAAAAAATAAAATGGTTGTGAGTTCTAATCCATGTGCAACCACCTTTTCAGATTTATTGACTAAAATTGTATAAACTACAGAAACCAATAGCAACCAATTGGCTTTCCGACTAGGTAGCCTTCTATATGGATTGCTATGGGTTATTGCACTGTGGAAGCAGCAGTCAAGATGGTGCCCTGTGGTTCAAGGCAATGGACTCTTGAAAGTCGAGTTTAATCAGAAGGGAAGAGCCTTTAGGAGGCCAAGTGGGACCCTGGTCTAGGTCTGATGGCAGCAATGTAACACAATGATTGACCGTTAATCCACTAATTATATGGCAAGCATTGATATCACAGCTCTGGTTTTAACCCCCAGCCCTGTATCTGAGGTGGTGGTGTTGTGTATGTGCTGCTAACCTCAATGATAACATGACTGTGAGTTCAAATCCCCATGCAACCATTGTTTCAGATTTATTTATTAAAGTTGTGGAAACCAATGGAACCCCTGTTTGACCATTAATCCACAATTCGTATGGTGTATAATGATATCACAGCTCTGGTTTGGGCCCCACCCCCCATCTGAGGTAGTGGCATTGTGTGTATGCTGCAGACCACAAAAATAAAATGGTTGTGAGTTCGAATCACATTCGGGACCACATTTTCACATTTATTTATTAACCAATTGGCTTTCAGACTAGGTAGCCTATCGTATTGGTGGCTCTGGGTTATTGGACCTTGCAGGCAGTTGAGATGGTGTCCTTTGGTTCAAGGCAATGGACTCTTGAAAGTAACTGAGCCAAGTGGGAGGCTATCCTAGGTCTAACGGCAGCAATTAAATACACTGGGTGGCCATTAAACCACTAATTTTCTGGTAGGCAATGATATCAAAGCTCTGGTTTTGGCCCCGCCCACCAACTGAGCCAGTGGCGTTGGGTGTATGTTACTGACCATAAACATAAAATGGTTGAGAGTTTAAATCCCCAGGTGACCATCCTTTCAGATTTATTTATCAAAGTTGTATAAATTGCAGAAACCAGTAGCAACCAATTGGCTTTCAGACTACGTAGCCTTTCATATTGGTGGCTCTGGGTTATTGAACTTTGCAGGCGATTGAGATGGCGTCCTTTGGTCCATGGCAATGGACTCTTGAAAGCGACTGGTTTTTTTTTTACCAGCTGGGAGATAGTCATTGAGGCCAAGATTCATTTAACCATTAATCTGCCAATCATATGGTATGTCATTATATCACAGCTCTGATTTTGGCCCCGCCCACCATCTGAGGCAGTGGTCTTGTGTGTAGGATGGCGATCTCACTAATAGAATGGTTGTGAGTTCGAATCCTCAGATGGCCACCTATTCAGATTTATTTATGAAAGTTACATAAAGTGCAGAAACTGATAGCAACCAATCAGCTTTCCTACCGGGTACGGTTCATATTGGTTGCTACGTGGTACTGCACTTTACAATTTATATTACCTTACTTGATCACCTCAGTTGAATTTGAGTTGTATTACCACTGCTCACAGACTCAAGCACCCAGGCCTGTGGCTCAGTCACATGAAGGGTGACGATTGTGGAATCTGAAGGCCAAGTGTTCGATTCCCAAGGTAGAGCAAACTACCTAATGGCTGTTTGGGGTGAAACAACAACAATGTGCTTGGTGGAATGTGAAGGGGTGTCCCTGGTCACAAAAACCTGGTGAGAGGTTAAGGCGTGGACCTTCTCCCCAAAGAACTATGAGGTGGTTGGCACCATGTGAATGAAGAGGCATCCACTGTTCACAAAAACCTGGTGAGGGGTTAAGGAGTGGACCTTCTCACCAAAGAACTATGAAGTTGGCACCGTGTGAATGAACCCTCAGTGACATACACTCAAGCCATGAAGGGGCACTTCTCATCACAAAAACCTGGTGAGGGGTTAAAGAAGGAGTGGACCTGCTCCTCAAAGAACTGTGAGGTTGGCATCATGTGAATGAAACCTCAGTGAAGTAGACTCCAGCCATATGACCTGGGTGTTCAGGGAGACATGTGAATGAAATGCCAAAGACCTTACCATGGCAAGGGGATATAGGTGACCCGGCAAGTTGGTCACAGAAAAACAAGCACCAGTATTGTTTTCTGCATTATTTTGCCTAAAATTAAGGAAATGTTCAAGAAACCTTGCCCAGGTCTCTCTGTCCACTCCACTCCACTCCACGCACAGCTTTCCTTGGACAGGATCATTCAGCTACTTCACCAAGTATGGTGATCCACACCACCACTTGAAGTTTCCCAAGGAAGGTGGTGGTCACCACCACATGTTCAAGCTCTGAGCACTTCCACTGGGTCTTCACACAATTTTGCACCCATCACACAACCCAGTGGTCTTGGTCCTGCTTCAAGTGACCAATTTTGCACTCACTGGTGGGAGTTGAACCCACAACCAACTTAATCAGGCTCCAGGAGCCTTACACGCTGCACCACAGAACCAGAAGACAACCGAATGAGTTGCTCATGTTCCTATATCATGGAGATTGGCTCTCTGAGCCCATTGAACACTAAAACAAACACGTTACCACAGAAGAGATTCAAACCAGGCAAGCCAAGGCCTGCAGCATTCTAAAGCAGCAATCAAACCACATGCACCACAAGGCCTGGACATGTGCAAACTTTCTCAGTAAACGTATATACTAAAGACAACTTTGGAGGTGGGACTACAAAAAGTGTACAGGGGCTCATAAATCACAGAATTTACCTCTCTACATGCAGATTTGAACACACCACCTAGAGCGTACAAGATGAGCACTCTACCCACTGAGCTACTTCAACAGCACGCAGAATGCAAATCACTGTGCACACTTCACTATTCTTCTGAAGTTCATCAATGGCCAGGTAGAAAGTATTTACATGGGTGCTGAAAGCAAAGAGAACCTGCCTTGATTTGGCCAACCAATATGCTGAGTTGCCATCACTTCCCCGGCAGAAAGCCATTGGCACAAGGGCCTAGCACATGCCACATAGCACAGAGCCGTGGTGAAGCTGGGAAGGATTCCAACAAAATTGTTAGGATCCACCCCAGCTCCCTAAGTGACAGCTGGCTCCGCCTCTAGAAGTCAGCTGTGCCCTTCTTTTTCCCAGTCTGTCCTTCCAATGAGCACTGTAGTAGGGTCGCCACCTTTTCTTCAAGCAAAACCCGAACACACTCGAGCGACGCGCGGACATTTTTTGGGGAGAACGAGTCCTTGCTTATGTAAATAGTGCCCCCCATTCATATGTAAATATCACAGTTGAGACTATTTTCGGTGGGGGGGGGGCAGTAGTCCCTATCTTAATTTTGGTTGCCCCGTCTACCTGACTACCTGACATCTTGTGGCCGTCTACCTGACATCTTGTTTCTGCTGCCATGAAACCCGGACACAGCATTCAAAACCCAAACTGTCTGGACAGGTGGCAACAATGATATAAGCATGCATATAGAAAACTAGCATAGACTAGCATTGCGCTACAGCGCCATCTGCTGCTCAAAAGACATAGGGGATTAGTCACAAAGCTGCCAAATGCAGCCGAGTGAATAACCCAGCCGAAGTGAAGAGAGCTGGAAGGTGTTCGGCTATTCACTTCAGCCTTGTACTGCAGCCTATAAAAATCAGCCGTACATCGGCTGCCTTCGTTTAGCCGAACATGCTCTGCATGTACGGCTGAGCCAAAGTGCAGAAGGAGTTCGACTCAGCTGATCCAACATCTGGATCGCTTGAGCTGAAGTTCTGGCAGCTCCGAGGTAGTGAGCAGAATAGAAAGAAATGTAAATAAATGGGGAAAAAAATGTTTTAAAATTATTTAAATAAATGTAAAAAAAAGAAATGAATACATTTTTATTAAAGAAAATAATCATTTAAAAAAACCATTCATGCTGACCCGACCGCACGTAACAAACTCCTGCTGCATAATGTCAAATCTGACAGATGGCGGCAAAATATAAACAATTGGGGCGGAGCTAGCGGTGACATCACCGCTAACTCTTCCCAACTGTTTACTATTGACCGGCACCTGCCAGAGTCTTCTATCAGGTCCCAGGCACAAAAAAACAACAACTGGGCGGAGCTGGCCGTGACGTTCCGGCCAGCTCCGCCCTGTTGTTGTTTAATGACAGATCAGCGTCCCCAGGTCATTTGGGGACGCTGATCTGTCATTACAACTGGGCGGAGCGTGCCACGGCTGGCTCCGCCCAGCTGTCATTTGCATGGGGAACAGTCAACCCTTTGGCCGACCTTTCTCCATGCTTCGGCTCTCACTATGGCTCAGCTGAGACGAAGCATATGCGCCTGGCTCTGCTGAGCTACTCGGCTGCTGTAGGGGCTATTGTGAATGGCTCAGGTGGCCGAAGCGATCCTTTGGCTCTTCTGTGAATAACCCCCATAGTTACAGTATATGCTGATGTATTTTTAACACATGTTACATGGTTTGGGGAGGAGATGGCTAACAACATCATATAGGTATTATGGTCAGGTGGTAGTAAACTTTTGACTATATAGTGTTCATCTGTATTTCAGAACTTACCCCAATCCCTCCACAGGGCAGAACTGCATACATCTTCTGAGAAAGAGGTCCTACAAGACAAATTAGGATTAGTGCTCAAATGATGGAAAAAAAGGTTTATTATGTTCTTTACTAAGTTCTTCATTCTGATAAACTACTAGAAGGTTCTATTTTTTAGACATTCTGAAAAACTAAACATAACTTTTCTATGCTATTGCACAATGCTTCAATAATGTGAGATTGGTCACTACAAGATTCTACTGCATGGTACTGGTGTAGCTTACTCCATAGAGAGCCATTTGTTCCATCTGTGTACTAATCAACAGCTACTCCTAGTGGTTAATAGCTAGCATTTTTAGTAACAAGAGCTACTAAACATCTCCAACGTGGTTCTAGACGAGGGGTAGCCAAACTCTGGCCCTCCAGCTGTGGTGAAACTACAAATTCTATGATGCATCTCTCTCCGGGAGTCATATCTGTGGCTGTGAGAATCCTTCAATCCCTCATGGGATTTGTAGTTTGACACCAGCTGGAGGGGCGGAGTTTGGCTACCCCTGTTCTAGACTAATAAGGTGATTGATAACAAGTTGTTAAAGACAGTGGTAGTAAGGGATTAAAATAGGGCACACAGTTTAGTCCTTAGGCTAGAATTCAATTATACATCAGTGAAACTCATATGAAGTCCAACACTAAACAAAATAAGACAAGGCTGAAATTATAGATGATAATTATAGGTAGGTCAAGGAAATAAAACAAGGGGCACTTCACTCTTCCTTAACCCCTTCGTGACGGGAGACGTACACTGTACGTCCAGCCACAAAGGGACCAAATGACTTGTCACGTACACTGTACGTGACGAGTTATTTGCTGCTTTAAAGGGCTGTTAATCGCTGAGAATCAGCTTTTAACATTCATTAATGGATGCCCTTACTACAGAGGCATTCATTAATGAAAGGGTTAACCTTTTTCAGACACCCGATACCTTAATATCGGGTGTCTGAGAGTCAAAGCAAAGCGGACACAGATGCCGGCTTTTGCCGGCATTCTGACAGCTCGTATAGATCGAGAGATATCTCTCTCAAGCTATACTGGCTTTTTTTTTTTTTTTTCATGAATAGATACAAAATGTGTCTATTCCTACAATGTATCTATTCCTGGAAGAAGAATGTTTGTTTGCTGATCGTTGTTGCAACAATCAGAAAACATTTAGTAACAGCTGAATCCTGAACTGCTGCAGGATCAGTGTCACTAACTTATTATCGGCTGTTCTGAAGTTTGAAGCAGCCTGATAATAACCAAAAATGTATTAATTTATCATGCAGTAACAGTGAGATTAATTCACAAAATCTGCTTGATATAATTAAATAAATAAAATAACATTTTTAAGTTAAAAAAAAAAGTGAAAAGTGTAAAAAAAATAAAAAATTGTGTAAAAAATAAAATAAAATAAGGGACAAATAAATGAATGTATTTATTGCATTTTTTTAGCTGTGCTGGTTTTGTAAAAAAAATACTACAAATCAAAACTGGGAAAAAAGTGTTTTTTTTAAACGGTTTTTTCCTCTTTTTTTATATTTTATTTGTCCTAAGTGAGGCGTTAGACGCACATATGTGATATAAATATGTAGCCCTATCTGTCCTCTAAAAAACAATATATAATATGTGTGGGTGCACTTTGTAAGAAAGTATATTACTGACGTGGAAGAATCACACAGCAAAAATGTCAAAAGTGTGTCAGTCATTTACGAACAGAAACTAAAAACAAGCTCAGTCATGAAGGGGTTAATATATACTGTTCTAGGCCGTAGCTTATTTCTAAATCATGTAAAACATAAACATATCTTTAAATGCTGGTTTATGCCCTACCCAATTCTTCATTTATTGCCCCAGATTGATCACGAGTCCACCCTGGTCCTACAGCTCCCATAGGGCTCTCAGCAGACATCTCAGCCTGTACAGTCAGCTGCTCACCCAGCAGGTTCTTGCTCTCCAGCTTGTGACGGCTCTGAGGACTGGTCCCATATAACAGGGTGTGGTGCTCGGCGTGAACTGTCTGAATTTCATCCAGAGTGGCTTTTCTTCCTCGTACGCGCTGTGACAAGAAACTTACGTGACCCTTAGCAAACATAACCCGTTAAATTGTACTTATAATCCTTCGTTGTTACCTAGGCTGGTTGTATTTGTATTAACAACGTGAGTAATTTAGTCTAGAAATAAAAGGGTTGAGTAGGAGCCTGTGGCCCTGGTTGTAAACATTCCCCCTGTTGATAAATTCAAAGCCCGCTCTGTCTAAATCTGATAGTTTAGTTGCTGCCTTGAGCTACCCACCAGCTTCTTCATGAACTTCACCACAGTAATTTGTGTTTCAGCCACCTCTCACAAGGACACAGTGTATGGGTTATTGCCTTACAGTTTGGTTTCCAAAGTATTTTTTGATTTTGCATTAAGATTCCACCTGGGAGACACCATCAGTTGACTTTGTCTTGGCAGTGGTGGTCAGTCACAAATAGGATATCTCACCATTGGTCTCCCTGAGAGATATAATGATCCAGCTGGTGTTTTATGTCAATGTCTACCACACAAGCATATCTGTTTTGGTTAAAGAGGGTCTTTAAGGAGTATTCCCCTTTCCAAACAGGAAGTAGGATTATTCTGTGACCATGCGTGAAAAGAAAACCAGATTAGCTGAATGAAATGTTGTGGCTGGAGTGAGTAAATATCAGTCGTATCAAACATCAGCAGATGTCTCATAATTTATTGAAAGCACTTGGAGATCTGCCTACATATGGCAAACCTTGGGGTTCCTGTAGACATTAGATGGTGGTCATCTGATCCTGCTGACACAAGCATAGCCTGCAGATGATCTGGATCTGTATGGGCTTTGTGTGTGCTTAGCAGACACCCTTGGCAAAAGTTTATTGACTTCTTATGCTATAGCCTCTTTTCCCCACAAGGAAGTCAAAAAAGTTGTCTGGAGAAGCAAGCCAACATTGGACAGCTGGGCCAATCTATGGCCATAGTGCGTATAAGAACATACTGTATAGACAAAATAATTTTGGCTGATTATGATATGCTCGTTATGTCTTTGGCTTGTGGATCATTTTTAGGAAGAAAGTTAATTGGCCGGGTTGGATTTCAATAACACCAGTACATGAACTTGTAGCTTGGCCATTACAGGTATTTAAGTTCATATACCATTTTTCTGATCACACTTGTACGTCCAACCCCCATAGAGAGAGTGTGAGTCTATCTACAGCCATATTCACTGTATATAATACTTACACTGACATTTAGATACACACAATTATTTGAGTGCCCTCTTATTGTGGCATCATTCTTTTCAACGAGACATTCCATTCCTCTTATTGCACTGATATGTTCTACCCAAAGTCAAGAACAGCAAAGGCTCACCTGGCACTTGCCGAGGAGACCAGTTTCTTGCAGTCGGGACCAGATACTCTGTATTCTCCCAGCATGCTCTGGGTGGTTATTGGTATCCCCGCATGTACACTGGTGCTTCAGCATCAGAGTGTCATAGACTAAGCCTGGGGAGGAAGGATAAAATGACAACTATAGCATGTTTAGAAATGTTGAATGGCAGTACTTTTCTATGAGGAGATCTCTAACCAATAGGACTTTGACCAGACAGAATGGAGAATTTTAAGCTGGCACCATGTTTTAAAACCTCTGAGAAACCCTACCCTGTGCAGTTGATGTTCTTGCCTACATACACCACAAGTGGACTAGGGATGCACAGATACCAAGTACAGTACTCGGTACAAGTACAGATACTTTTCCAGCTCCAAGACTAGACTAGAGAACAATTCAAAAGTTAGGAGGCCGCTGTCATTTGTAAGGAGCACACGGAGCTCCTGGGATTTGTGCATCTCTGTTTTAATGTATGATTTAATTTTTATAAATATATATAAGTGATGCACCAATATCATTTTGGCAAGTATAAGTACTGATACTTGTCCAATTACTCACAGATACGAGTACTGATACATTTTTGTTATTGCTACCCTGGTAGTTCTCGTGAAGATGCCAAGTATCGGCACTGGTATCTAAAAAGTATCGGTGCATCCCTAAAGTGGACACTCTGTCAGGTGTAAAAGTGATCTTATGAAGTCCTGGTTAGGCATTTTTGTTTATGGACTGTCTTAGAGTATCTCTGCTGACAAAAGACTTGAATTGAAATATGAACTCTGACCTGTAGTGCTCAGGACCCGGCGTCGTGACTCGGAACTGCAGGAGCTGAGTGGAGCTGCCGGGGAAGACTGGGTCCGACTTAAGGCCGAATGAGGAAGAGAGCCTTGATAGAGTGGGAGGGCCTCTGGGAACAGCTGGAGAAGCAGGGAGAAGACATTAGACTAGTTCCTGTAATGTTCACGCCTATCTATAGAAGACTTCTATTTCATGAGCAATTGTGGCAGAAACATGTAAACACCTGTTTATCCTAAAAACCATTTCAACCCATCACACAGGTGACCTTCAATGCCCCCAATCAACAGATGGCTTTGTGATGTTCACCATTTCATAAAGTAACTCCACCTATTAGGGAAGTGTACCAGCCTAGAAGACAAGGCAGCAAGGAGGGTAGCAGACATATTGGAACCTATGATTGCACTTTCATTTTTGAAACAACTGTCCTTTAAAACAGATCTAAAACCTTACGGGATGCCATTTAGCTTTCCAAAGCACTGTGGGGGGAATTTATCAAAACAGGAGCAGACAAAATCTGGAGCAGATTTGCACTGCAGCCAATCAACTTCTCTCTTTCATTTTCAAATCTTACCTGAGCACACTGAGGAGAGATGCTGATTGGTTGCCATGAGCAACTGCTCCAGATTCTGTTTGCTCCAGTTTTGATTGTTCCCCCTGTGTATCATAAACAGTTTAGTTGCTTACAAAATACTATTCTTACCTTTTCCATGCATTATTCAGCTCCGTGCTGCTGATCTCCTTCAGCCTCTTTCTGTCTACATGCATGGGCTCCAACAACAGCTGGATGTCATTGCTTAGGGCAGGTGACAATGATGGGATATGCCTGCACAAAGTGCATTGGTATGGCTGCTTCTAGTCTCCAGAGGAAGTATATATGACAGGATAACAATAAAGAAGAGCAACTGGGAGACAGAGGCAGAGCACGGTCACCCTTTCACAGGAAGTGTACTGTGCTTGGACTGACTGTAGTATCATTAATAGGCATGTGAGATAGTAAAACGTAAAGACGCTCACTACCCATGTGATACTTAAAGGCTGGGTCCATCCACAACAACTTACCTTAATACAGCGTAACCAACAATAAAAGACTGGGCGAAGCATCTACTACTAATGACAGCCATTATAAAAAATACAGACCATTGCTGAATTGGAACACAACCTCAGTGTGACATTGACTGACGACAACATTAAAACCTCCTTTATACATACACACAAGATTTCTATTGCTAGTTCGCCTCAGGGGAAGGGGTAGAGATGTCCAAGCTCTTTTCATCTTGTGGAGTCAATGCCAAGAAGAATCGCCACAGGATTGAAGGCAAAAGGTGGCCCAACGAAGTACTGATGGGGTGGTCATAATAATCTGACCACTCAGTGTATATCGACTGGGTGCTGGGTCATCTTTACCCCAGATAGCCCTTCTTTCTATCATTCCAGGCCCCCTCTCAGAGGCGGTAAAATGATCCCACATGCAGTTCCCAGCTCTGCATCCTACTAAAACCATGATGTCTCCTCTTGCTGCATTCTAAAAAAAGAGTGAGAGTCCCTTTAATGGTTGTAGCAAGGAAGTCTTGCTGAGTTGCAGGTATCCCGCCAAAAGGCTTTCAATGAGATTCAGGACTGTGGGGCGATTAAGCTAGCTACCACCCACCAAAAATGGACATACGCAATAGGAAAACTCTTCTCTTGACTTTTTTGACCAGTCTGTTGATTTAGCCATATTTCTAACATGCAGTAGAACGTGGCACTCAACAAACCCCTGGCCAGTTCAGGTATTTCATGTGTTCTAGCTCAAGCACATCTGGTGCAATTTATGAAGCCCTTGATTACTTGCATAATGTGAGCTTGAGACAACTCCTGTTCTGCAGATGTGTGCTCTTGTGAAGGATTCTATTCAGGGGGCAGAATCATTCTGAGACTGCAGAAGTCGTTAGAAGTTGCATTTTCAGTTGAATTTGGGGAAACCACTTGAAACATTCGTTGTGATGACCTATTTCAATTGCTTTTGTTTGCTTTGTTCATTGCAAACAGCTAAAAGTCTGTACATTTTGCCAATAAACCGCAGTTCTGCGTGTTATTAGTACACAGCCCCTGTCCTTCTCTATGGGAGTATGCGGCCGTACGCCGCCCTAGGCTCACCTCAAGTGCAGGTCCGTGCGGGTGTCCCGGCTCGGACGCAGACAGGATTTATCCTGTCAGCGTACGAGTACTGACACCCGCACGGACGTGCACTGTGGGTGAGCGTAGGGCGGAGTACGGCCGCATACTCCCATAGAGAAGGACAGGGGCTGTGTACTAATCACACATAGCACTTGTCCTTCCCAGGAGCTGCCCGATACGGCAGTGCACGCAGCACGGAGCTGTACATGTCGTCTATTTCTAGTGTGAATGAGGCCTAAATATCAGTTTTTT